AAATAAGATACAACAACAAAAAAATGTTTGATAGCTTTTAGACTAAGGAATTCTATCTACCTCAGGAATCTGCCTTCACAAATATTAGCACAAATACACAAAAGATGTTCCCTGGGGTACTTTTTGGAATAGCCAGATATTAGAAATGGTTTTAATGTTTATCAGTTGGGAGTTAAATTAATGTGTTGTCTTTGGAATCAGGAAGAAGTAGTTGAACAACATGTGCTCAGTGCCACTGATGTGTTCTCTTCAAAGATGGTTCATTTTAGGCTGGATGTGGTGATGCACACCTTAAATGCCTAGCACTTGGGAGGCAGAAGCAGATGGATTTCTGTGACTTTGAAGCCAACCTATCTACACAGTGAGTTTCAGGACAACAGAGCTACATGGTTAGACCCTGTCTCAATAAAAATAAAAATAGGGGCTAAGAGATGGTTCAGTGGTTAAGAACACTGGCTGCTCTTGCAGAGGACCTGAGTTTGGTTCCCAGCACCCACATGGTGGCTCACAACTCCAGTCTGTAACCCCAGTTCCTCAGAATCCAACGCCCTCTTCTGGCCTCTGTGAGCACCCCATACATGTGGTGCACATACATACATGCAGGCAAACTCATACACATAAAATAAAAATAGATTAATCTTTATGAAAATAGAAAGATGGTTAGTTTTGTGTTGCATGAATTTTATCTCAGTATTGTTCTTACTTAAAAGGAATTTGCTCTTTTTTTAAAGAAAATATTTTTATTTTATAGTGTCTGAGTGTATTGCCTGCATGTATGTAAGTGCACCCATATCATGCAGGGCCCACAGAGGTCAGAAGAGGATGTTAGAGTCCTCTGAAACTGGAGCTGTGGACAGTTGTTAACTACCATGTGGGTGCTGGGAATGGAACCCAGATCCTCTGCAAGAGCAGCCAGTTATTAACTGCTGAGCCACCTCTCCAGCCCCTGCTCTCCTTTTTAATTAACTTCTTTGGTTAGCATACACAGCAAAGGGGGTCACTGTGGCATTTTCATACATATGTGTCATTACATTCTGTTCTCAATAGTTCATCTCAGTTATGTTTTTGAAGAGTCGCTTTTATATGCTGACATGGAAAGGTATTGTTTAATGAAAAGAGAAACATTCTGTTTTCTGTAAATGCTCAGAAAAAGCTTGGAAAGATCTAGAACACAACAGTGGCTACTGCCAGGAACTGGATTTGGGAAAAAGGAGAGGATTTGTACTTAATATTACATAATTCTGCAAGGCATGAAAGTTTAAAGTTGGCATAAATTACTTTTAAACTGGTAGGGGAAGTCCAAAGTCGGTCAGACTGAAAGTGTAATGAGATAGGAGGTTGATTCTTTCAAGTGAAAGTGGAAACTGTTTCATTTTGAATTTTCCTTTTTGTGTATTTTCCTTTCTTTCTGCTCTTTAATTCCCACCCACCCATCTGTACCACAAAGGGGAGTTAGCTAGTGACTCACTGCCTTGTTTTGACCTTTCAGTGAGTGTGGCTAATTGATTCTGAGTGCAGGCAAGCCATCTATTTAGTCTGGCTGCTGTTTGTAAGGCACTGGGGGTTTTTTTGTTTTTTGTTTTTTTTTTTAAGAGATCATAGGATTTGTAGAGTACCATTAGCAACCTGGGCAAGTACTTTCTTGCTGTCCTGCACAAGACTGGCTCAGCTGTCAAGAGTTCATTTGTGAGCTGGGAGCTTGTAGGCTCCTGCCAGCCTGGGGAGCTTGTGTGGCTTACTGCTCAAAAGCAATGCCACCCCGCTGCCTTCAGAAAGCTGGTGACACCCTAAAGCCCCTTGGAAGTTTCCACTTACTTTCTTCTTTTCTTTTTTTTTTTTTTAGTCCTTTTGAGACAGGGTCTCCCTATAGCCCCAGCTGTCCTGAAACTCACTATGTAGACCAGGCTGGCCTTGAACTCACAGAGATCCGCCTGCCTCTGCCTCCCAAGTGCTAGGATTAAAGGCGTGCACCACCACGCCCGGCTTCCTGCTTATAGTTTTCATTTATTCATTTTCCTTAGATTATAAAAAAATTATAAAGTAAACTAGAAGTCACTTGTACTATTCATATGAGAATTTAAAATGAAAAATGGGTAGCATTTTATATATATATCTGTTCACAATATACTTTATGCATAATTATGTAGTGTTCATATTACAGCTATTAATGGTAAGTAATTTTGCATAGAAGGGAGAGTTGCCATAATGGCTGGATAGTATTCTGACAACAGATAATTCTAACCTTCTTAACAATGAGTGGCTTCTTTGTTTTTGAGACAGGATTTCATGTAGCCTAGGTTGGCCTCCAACTCACTATATAGCTAAGGATTGCTCTGAAATTCTGATCTTCCTGCCTCTACCTCCTGAGTGCTAAGATTACAGAAATACGACACCACATGCAGTTTATGTGGTACTAGTGACCAGAAAAACATGCTAGGTAAACATTCTTACCATCTGAGCTGCATTCCCAGCCTTTGAATGGATTTCTTTTTTAAAGTACTATAATGAATTTTATTGTTGAATTTCATCATTGAACCTCAAAATACCTTGTAGTATCTTAGTGGTGGGGACTCAAGTATCTTATGCTCAGTAAGTTTACAGCTCCAGTAAATCCAGTAAAATGTGATCGCTGTTCTAGCAGAGAGATATCTAGGTTGCTCAGTCAGGAGAGGAGGAATGGAGAACACAGGTGAAGGCTTCCTAGAAGGTAGAAGGTAGATTTGGGTTATATTCTGAGGACAATGAACCATTCAGTGAAGTATAAGAAACACCATCCAAGAGGAGAAAATTGCTTGGAGGAAGCACAGGGGGCTAGCAAACAGCACTTTAAAGGTGCCGGGCTGGGGTAATGGGTATGTGGCAAGATGTGGTCCTAAATGTGTAGCCTGTGGTCAGATTATAATAACATGTCTTGTTTGCCAAGCTGAGTTGGAACTTCACACTGAAGGCTACAGGAAGCAGCACCAGGGAACACTTGTTAAATAAGGTGGGGCTTTTGGTTTTTTGTTTTTTAGCTGGGTATGATGGCGTGTAACTGTAATTTCAGCCCTTGGGAGGTTGAGGTAGGAGGATCTTGAGTTTGAGGCCAGCCTGGGCTACATAGTGAGTTCCAGGTCAACCTATGCTATTTAGTGAGACTCTGACTTTAAAAAAAAAAAAAAAAAAAGTGGGTTTTGAACACAGTAGTGCTTTCTTGCTTTGGTAGTTTCCAGGGAATGTGTTGAAATCTTGCAGGGTAAAAACTAAAAATTACACATTTCTTCAGATGCTTCATATTTGTCATGAGAAAGCCCTGTGGTGGCATATTTCAGTCACAAGACTGGACTTTGTGTGATCAGACCTACAAAGTCAGCTAGGGCCTCTTCAAAAAGAAAACACGTCATGGGAGGCATCAATTTCTGCCAGGCTGGTACTTGTTATGCATATTAGTTGCAACTTTTTGCATTGACAGAACCCCAACTCACTGGAGACAGAAAGGGGACTGTATTACTAGCTTCTATCCAGGCTTCAGGCACAGTGGGATCCAGGAGCTCAAACGGTACTTCAGTAAAGGCTTTATCCCTTCCTCAGTCTCTCCGCCTTTCATCCTGCATGTCCCTTTCTTCCCACCTATGGTAGATAGTTCTGTGTGACCAAGGAGAATTGCTACAAGGAGCTTCTATTCTGTTTTCTCTGAACTCGCTATTCCAGAGGAATGCTCCCCCACCCCTTTTCTCTCATAAATCATGTTTCGGGGAATCTGTACCTAGCCTGGTCTCTGTGGAGATTCCAATGGGGGAGGGGTATACCTGGTTCATCAGGCCTGGAGAAGCCCACTGCAACAAGGGACACTCAGGGATAGTGGGATCCTGTTGTAGGAGGAGAGGGCGAAGTTTTGTTTATGGCTCTTCCACTGTTTACCTTTTCCTTGTGAAGGAGGAGCTGATTGTTGGAAACAAGCCAGTAGGAGAGTGTGTGTGTGTGTGTGTGTGTGAGAGAGAGAGAGAGAGAGAGAGAGAGAGAGAGAGAGAAAGAGAGAGCTGCCTTTTCTGTGTAAGCCTGGCTGCCATGTTCTTGTTCTATAGTTCACTCAGTGTCCATGTCACACAGAACTGATGCCCACAGAACGTGTATGAAAAGAGCCCTGTGCATTTTCCTTGGCATATAGGATGGAGAACAGTCTCCCACTCCCCCGAAGCCTTGGCTGTGCCCTCTCTCTCTTGCATATGTGTGATTTGTGCTCTGTCAGCATCAGGAAGCAGCTCAAAGGATCCACCCAGCCCTGCTCAGACCCCATGACCGGTTCTTTTTCTCATTGTGCAGCGGTCCATTAGCTTCCGCAGCGAGAGCCGCCCCGACATCCTCGCCCCCCGAGCCTGGTCCAGAAATGCCACTTCTTCAAGCACGAAACGGAGGGACAGCAAACTGTGGAGTGAGACCTTTGATGTGTGTGTCAGTCAGGTGCTTACAGCCAAGGAGATCAAGCGTCAGGAGGTAGGCTGGGGACTGGTGGAGCTGCCTCTATCTCCCACAGAGCTACCCTGCATGTGAGAACTACACAGGGCCTGGTGCCTCAGCTTCCAGATCAGTTTGAATTCATGTGTGTAGGACACAGGGCAGACGAAACTGAGAAACCAGCACCTAGCTGGGTGGGTGTGGTCCCACCATGAAAAGAAAGTGCATTTGCAATATTGACTATTGAAGCCAAGTGTCTAGTTAGGAGTCTGATCCTTGCAGAGACAATCATTGAGCTATATTTTTAATAGTAAGTTCTAGGATATCTTAAAAATAATTGGCTTAAGGAACTTTAATTCAGCTTTCTAAAGACAAACTTCTTTCCTGTGGAGGACAGTTCATTTTCCTGTGAGTTTTTTGTATCTACCTCCCTTAAATAGCTCTGATGACCTTCCCTTTTATAAAGGGGTTCATCATGTGCTGGGCTCTGCCCAGCTTCTCACATGTGTTTCCTCCAGTGGGATCCCTGGATGACCTGGAACTTTCTATGTAGACCATATTGACCTCAAATTCTCAGAAAGCCACCATGCCCAGAGTCCCTAAACTTGGCAGAAGGGGTACTGGCAACTTTCCAGGTTCTGAAACTAAGCTATTCTTTTCTAGGAATTTACATGCCAGGTCTACTTGAACATAGGTCCAAAGATACATGCAAGATTCCTCATGTAGTGGTGTTTAGAATAGTTCTAATTTAGAAAGAGCCTAACTTCTGTTACTAGGAACTGTTTAAACACTGCCAATACTGTACAGAAACTCCAGAAACTCGGGAAGATATATTTATAATTGTTTGGCTAAGTAGATGAAGCAGGGACAAAGGGGAGTGTGCTACTGTGCCTGTAAAAGTCACACACACAGACAAGCAGGCACGCACATACACATACACATACACATACACATACACATACACATACACATAAATAAAAACGGAAAAATCAAAACGTGAGTACATGTATATGACTTTGCTTGTAAGACTGTAAAATATTTCTGGAAGGATTGACAGCAATGTTGCCTCTCAAAGTGGCTAGAAGGAGGAGCTAATGGATTGACTGGTGGCTGTCAGCTATTGGTAGCTTCAGAATGGTGACTAGTCACTGGTGAGACCAAGGCAGGATTACAGGAGTGAAAATTCCAGCGCCTGACCTCTACAGAAGGGAAAGAGGCTCAAGATTAAAGGTGATAACCAGCTAGGCAAGGTGGCACATGCCTTTAATCCCAGGTCTTGAGAGGTAGGGGCAGGCAGTTCTCTGTGAGAGAGAGAGACCAGCCTGGTCTCTATAGCAAGTTCCAGGCTAGCCAGGGCTACAGGAAGACCCTGTCACAAACAAACAAAGGTGATAACCAATGTCCAGTGACTTGTAAATCATGCTGATATGATCAAAGTTCCATAGAAACCCAGAAGGACAAAGTTTGGAGAGCTGCTGGGTGACTGACCACATGAGGTTCTGGGAGAGTAGCACTGTGGAAAGGATGTGGAAGGTGTACTCCGTTAATGTACCTTCCCCTATGCCTGTCCTGATGTTCATACCCTTTTTAATATCCTACAAACCAGCAAATATGAATGTTGCCCTGAGTTCTATAAGCAGCTCTGGGAAATTAAGCAAGGCTGGGGCACAGTCATGGGAACCCTTACTTATAGCCAATTGATAAGAAGCCCAGGTAAAGCCTTTTAAATTTTTTATTGGCATCTGGAAAGGGACACAGTCTTGGGACCAAGCCCTTGAGGGACCTAACACTGTCTCCAAGTAGGTAGGATCAGAACTGAATTAGAAGGACAGTTACCTGGTGTCAGCTACAAAATTCATTGCATGGTGTGTGGAATAAAGCTCCTACAGTGGGTGTCAGAAGTGGTCTGTGTTATGAAAATGTAGGAAGAAAAAAGAAAGTGAGAGAGTAGGAAAAACTGAGTTTGTTATTTATAGTCTCAGAGTCAAGAAGATGCTATTGTAGGGGATTTGAGATCTTCTTCCTTATGCTTTTCTGTATTTTCCAAGTGTTAGCAGTACACATGTAACTTGGATAGTCTGACAGTGAAGCCAAAGGAAGGGAGAGAGGTGGAGGGAGGGAGGGAGAAAGGGAGGGAGGGAGAGGAAGGGAGGGAGGCAGGCAGGCAAGCAGGCAAGCAGGCATAGGCTCTGCAGATGAGGAATATATTCAAACATGGTGAATACACGGTAAGCTGCAATCAGGATTTGAATTTTAGTCCTCTCTTACTCCAAAGTCATATATGTTTCCCATTGTGGAGTCCTGTGGTTTTCCTCTTTTGGTGGCCCACATTTGATCAGTCTGTATAGGTGAGCGCCCATAAAACAGATGGTCAAGGAAATCTGAGGAAGGTCCACATACAGGCTAGTTAAGGACTTTGAGCCCACCTGTTTCCTAGCTTTGATAACATACTGTCCTCACATAAGAAGCCAGTGTTGGAGGTGGCCAGTGATGCTGGAGACAGCCAGGTAATAGATGCATGGGACAACTCTGTGCTATTTTCACAGCTTTTCATGTGAGTATAATTATTTGAAAATATAAAGGCAAATAAAATAGTATCAGCAGGCCATGACATCCAGCTTCCCTGAGCCTCAAGAAGGGGTGTCCCCTAGCCTGGTGTCCTCCCTCCACCTGCTTTGTCCTCTAGTCCCCAAACCCCAAGGTAATGGCCATGCCTAAAAGTTGTTCACTCCCTCCAGTTTGGAAACACTACAGTTGTTTCTGAGCCATCCACAAACTTGTGGTCCTTTAATAAAATCATGTTTGCCCAATGTTTAGAATCCCAGATGAGAGAGAGTGTCCTACACATCATAGCTCTCTAAATTATGGTGGCTTAACGGAGCCAGATTAAAAACGGTCCATTTACACACTCTTGCACACAGCCAGCTGCTGTCATTTTATTTATTGCACCTTGTAGGGCTGAGAAGTACTTCAGAATGAATTAACTTCACCAGGTTTTATTTACAGTGACAAGATGCTGGATTCTTTCTGTAATCCCAGTTCCAAGACAAGTTAATCATAAGAACATAGCCTTCTGCTGAGACTCACCTTCTTTGAGAGAAAGAGGCGAGCTGTGATGGTCTCGTTAATAATATTGCCAGATCCTTTACTGGGAACAGACTCTGGGTCATCATCTCTTATGATTGCCACTCACAGCAAAGACATGGAGTTCAAGGCTCAGACAACAATCCTTTCATTTGATGCCATTCTCTTTTGCTCGGCTTCATCAGAGTTCTAAAACATGAAGGATGACTTCAATTGGAAATAAATGTCAAAGCTCTCTCACAGCAAAGCCCATTACCCAGAAATTTTGTTGTATTTTTTTCTTTGCAGATTTTAATTACAAGATGCATTTTCTTCAGGCTAATTTTTTAAATATTAAATTTTAATTTTATTTATGTGTGTTATGTGTGGGGTACCCTTGGAGGCCAAAGGAAGGCGTCTGGATCTCCTGGAGATGCAGCTGGTTGTGAGCTGCATGGCGTGGATGCTCAGGTCCTCTGGAAGAACAGGAAGTCCTCTTAACCACAGCACCATCTTTCTAGCTCCTGCTTCAGGCTAATTGAACCTTTTTTTTTTTTTTTTTTTGGTCTTTTTGAGACAGGGTCTCCCTATAGCCCCAGCTGACCTGGAACTCACTATGTAGACCAGGCTGGCCTTGAACTCACAGAGATCCTCCTGCCTCTGCCTCCTGAGTGCTGGGATTAAAGGGTGTGCCACCACACCCAGCCTTTATTTTTTTTTTAATGGTTCTGGAGATTGAGCTCGGGAATATTTTTTTAAATATTTCAGAACTTTTAAGCTTTGAATGTTAGAGCTGGCACTGTTTGAATTTAGCCTAATAAATGAAGAATTGATCAGGTCTGTTTTATCTTTTCTTGCAGGCAATCTTTGAGCTTTCTCAAGGAGAAGAAGACTTGATAGAGGACTTGAAGTTAGCAAAAAAGGTACATTAAAATACAGTAGTTGTTTGAGTCACTTTGTGTTTTTCACCCCCTCTGAGTCATTTCAGTCTTAAGATGATGTTTATGAGCACCCTCTCTAAGACTAAGTCAAGTCATCCCGAAACTGAGAAGAGCCTGTGACCACAAACCAAGCAGAGAGGGCAATGCTCAAAGCAAGAAGGCAGATAGCTGTCCACACCTGGCACCTGCAGGGCACCTCAGTGTGCCCAGTGTACCTTAAAGAATGTAGCAGCTTAAATCCAAAAGTGCTCAAGGAAGCCCGGCTTTAACTGTATTTCAGTGTCCTAGAAGTTATCACTTGAGGTACTCGGGAGGCTAGGTAGGAGGACCAGCCTGAGCTACATATCAAGATCCTATCTCAAAACACACTGAAAAAAGAGGTCTCATTGTTCATGGGAGAAAATAGATATCTAAATCTGGAACTGTGTCTTAGGGAGACATTTGAATCTTGAAAGTAGATAAGTAAAGTAAGCAATTGTGTGCTATAGTAAATAAGGGTCTTTTATATGGAAACAGGCTTTGAGGATTTTGAGGGGGAGGGAGTTGTAGAGGTTATTTGTTTCGTGCCCAGGACCAAATTCAGACTTGAGTGTGCTATGCATATGTTCTACTGCTGAGTTATATTCCCACCTAAAAACATATTGTTTTCATTTTAATTTTCTATGTATTAATGTTTTGCCTGCATATATGTATGTGTACCACATGCGTACAATGCCCATGGAGGCCAGAAGAGGGTGTTGGAGTCCCTGGACCTGAAGTTAAAGATGGTTGTTAACCACCAAGTGGGTGCTTGGAACCAAACCTGGGTCCTCTGTAAGAACAGCCAGTGCTCTTAACCACCTAGCCATCTCTCCAGCCCCTAAGAACTTATTTTATAATCAGCATTGTATGGGAGGAAGGGCGGAAACTCATGTCTTGTATCACATTTTTCCATTCCAGGGCCCTCCATATTTGAAAGCTCAATTCAGACTCCTCCATCTTTTTATTCATGACAACCTCAGAGACTCTTGAGGTCAGAAGGATGATTCCCATCTTTAAGGATCCTCAATACTTTCTGCTCATAGGAAGTTCCATCTCTAGCACTCCTAAGATGGCCATCTAAGCTTTACTTGGATGCTGCTAAGAAATTGTTAGGTAGGGATGGAGGAGGAGTGGCTCAGTGAACCAAGAAGGAATTTACATGTGGGAGACCTCCTGCCTGTCACATACCCACCTCCCCCTTCCTGCGTCAAAATTTCCCTCACACCAGCACCTTCCAGTGTCCCTTGTATATCCTCTGGCTCACAGTGCTTCTGCCTTCCTCTGTGCCCTTGTCTTTTCCTCTCCATCATCTACTTCTTCCCATCTCACAGGCACAAATCACAGTCCTTTCCTTTTGTGACACATCTTGCCTCCTCTACTACATGGCTCATCTTCATCTCCCCTGGCCACCTCACCTTTAATTTTCTGACCTCTAGAGCACTTTATGACTTGGCCTTTTTTTTTTTTTTTGACAATGTGCCATCTCTCCTGTGGTTAATCTTGAACTGTTTTTTAAACATATGTTTAATTTTCCATATATCTTTTAAAAATTTTCCACAACTAGCTTTATAAAATTCCCTGAAGGCAGGAACTGCCCTCTATGTCTCTCTTCTTTTGCACATGTCTATGAGTAGTATGCATGTGTGTGTGCGCACATGTTCTCATGTATATGCAAGTTTATATGCACATGTGTGCCTGTGTACGTGGATGCTAGAGGTTAACATCGTGAGTCTTCTTCCATTGTTCTCCACCTTATTCATTGAGACTAGGTCTTTTAATTGAGCCCAAAGCTCATCAATATAGCTAGTCTGGTTTGCCAGCTTGCTCCAGGGCTCCCCTGCCTCTTCACCTTCCCAGGACTGGAATTACAGGTGGACCACCATGCCCACCTGGCTTTCATGTGGGCTCTGAGAATTCAAAATCTGGACCTCCAGACTCCATCTCTATATTTATATTCTGTCATAGAGCCCTGGATATAATTTTGCATTCTTGTTTAATTATCTTTAATAAGAGGCCTAGGACTGGCAAACGTTTCACTCTCTTTGCTTCAAATCAATAATGAAGGGTGCAATCACTTTTTTCTTTGCTTTAAATATATATTCATTTGAAAAGAATAAACAATTGAATAAAGTGGGAGTTTTTCAAAGCGTAGAATCGTGTTGATTTTTAAAAACCTTGTAACAGTCAAGATTGCTTTCCATGTAAGATTTATGCTCTTTCCCAGATGTAGGATAGACTAAAATAAAACACACAGTTTGGAAAACTGCTCTGACTTATCAACAACCACCAAAGGCTGGAGGCAGAACTGGATTCTCCACTCTTCCAGCCACACCTGTCTATTTCCATGGCATTATGGGAGAAGTTGTGGGGAGCTAGTTTATTTATTTATTACATAGCACCTCCCAGGAGTCACACAAACAGCTTAGTTCCTCTGATTTTTCCATGTTTGTGTTCATCTCTTATCCTTCCCTTACAGGCCTACCATGACCCCATGCTGAAACTCTCGATAATGACAGAGCAAGAATTGAATCAAATTTTTGGAACACTGGACTCTTTAATTCCTCTACATGAAGGTATAGTTTTGGGCCCAGACAAGTCATGACTTGTAGCCTTAACTGAGTTATCTTCTAACATATCAGTGATTTTGTAATAATGGGACTGGCCCAGAACCTTCTTCCATTCCTGTTCATATTGAATACCAGCAAGATAAGCATTTTGTTTGTTTTTTACCAGAGCTCCTTAGTCAGCTTCGGGATGTTCGGAAGCCTGATGGTTCCACTGAGCATGTCGGTCCCATCCTCGTGGGCTGGGTAAGAAAAGTTCCCTGGTCTTGTTTAAAGATAGATTTTGCTTTACCTGGACTTTCCTTGTTGGCAAATACTGGTTGTCATGTAAGATAAAAAGTCACCCAGTAAAATGTATATTAGGTTTTACTTCATCAAAGCACAAAAGCATTTTTTTCTTACTGCAGATTTACTGCATTTAAAAACAACATGGCATTTTCACAGTAAGTGAAAAGTGCACATGAAGGCCGGGCGTGGTGGTGCACGCCTTTAATCCCAGCACTTGGGAGGCAGAGGCAGGCAGATCTCTTGTGAGTTCAAGGCCAGCCTGGTCTACATAGTGAGTTCTAGGCCAGCTGGCCGGCTGGGGCTACAGGAAGGCCCTGTCTCAAAGAGACCAAAAAGAAAAAGTACACATGAAACTGTTACTAGTTTCACATGAAATAGACTAGATAATATATTGACTCCATACCAATTATTATTAAAGTATTATCTGTGTAGTCCAGGCTGGCCTCAATCTCACAGAGATCCTCCAGCCTCTGCCTTCAAGTGCTGAGATTAAAGGGGTATGCCACTACACCCAGCATTATCAGTTCTACTCTATGTAAAAAATACTCCTTTTTTTTGAAGTACTGAATACATGCTAGGCAAATGTTCTACCACTGAGCCATAGCTCTCTGGCCCCGTCCCACCTTTTTTCCCCCTTTATTTTGAGATAAGACCTCACTACATTGTCCACACTGTCTTTGAATTCACTTTGAAGCCCAGCAAGCCTTGAATTTGGACCTCCTGTCTTAGTTTCCCAAGTAGCTGAGATTACAGACCTATGTTACTAGGTCTGGCTTGACATATTCTTGTCAGTCATCAAAAGTAGCTTTTCAGGCTATTTAAAAAATCTTGGCTGGGGGGCTGGAGAGATGGCTCAGCACTTAGGATCTCTGGCTGCTCTTCCAGAGGTCCTGAGTTCAGTTCCCAACACCTATGTGACAGCTAACATCCTTTTCTTAATTTTAGTTCCAAGGGATCTGGTGTATGTGCAGGCAAAACACTCATACATATAAAATAAAAATGAAGAAATTAATTTAAAAATCTTGGCTAGGGTATAATTCAGTAGTGTGGTCCATGCTTAGCATGCACAGGGTCCTGGGTTTGATCCCCATTGCTGTTTAAAAAAAAATCCAAGGTATGAATGTTTCACAAACAGGATAATGACTGCACATTGCTGATATTTAGCACACATATCTATAGTCCTAAATAACTGCTGGCTATACTGGCCTTTATCCCAATATAACCTAGTCCCTCTCTTAAAGAAAGAAGATATGACCCTAGGTTAGGACTTATGAACATTTAGTTCTCAGGTAGAATTTGTGTTGCCAGTGGGGTGCATAACATTGCCATTCATTGTGTTGCTTTCTTAGACAAGGTGTGCACTGTTTTTCTGAAGTCCCCACCACTTCCTATTCTGTTTCCGTCTGTGAGTCTTTGAGTGCTCCGTTCTCATTTCAGATGTGTTTTATCTGTTATGAAGTAGGTAATGAAATCAGATTACCATCATGACTTCTTCCAGGTGAGATTAGATCTCTAAATTCTGCTGATTAACCCAAGATTCCAGGAAAATAGGCAGGGACTGCAGTGATGGTATTAGAAGTCATTTTCCTGTCTGGAGAGTGTTGCAGAGCTTATAAATCCTACCTCCATGTGAGTTTTCTCTCTCCAGTTAAATTTGTATTTTAACCTTCCTAAAACCTCCAGTTGCCATTGGTGGTATGTGGATGTACAGAACATTTTAACACTGGTTTCCGCCTTGGTGCTTCTCAGATGCATGATCCAGACCCTTTGGGGTGTCTTGTGACTTGGCTAATTCCCAGCTCAGGAGTCAAGTTTAGCATCAAGGCTGAATTATCTGAAGGTTATCAGAAAGACAAGTAATGTTCTGAGTTGAATAATTTAGATAATATGCATTAATATTTCTGAGATCATTCATCTTAGACTTTTGACTTTGTCTTATGAGCTCTGGTAGGATGTTTTAAACTTCTTCAACTCACAAAGATGCTCCTCCAAAGAGAGCCAGCCAGCTGGAGTCAGAGAGGGTTTAACCAGAAGGTCTACGTGCTTTTTAAACTTCCCAAGTCTCTGTACTCCCTGAATGGAAGTAAATCTGTGCTTTAGAAGTACTGGGTTCCTGATCCATTTTTCATGACACAATGATACAGAATGAGTATCATATGCAGTTCATGAATTTGTGCCAGATTCAAACTGGAGGACTTTGCTTTATTAACATTTTTTTTCTGAAATGCACGCTTGTCACTTGTGTTAGGTTAGTTTGATTTGGAGAAAGTTTAACAGCCATGTTCTGTGCGTTCCCAAAGGAAGTGCGACCATGCCAGTCTTTTGCTATCTGGACCTTCCAGACATCAAATGGGAACTTGAAGCTTGAAGAGCAGCCTGAAATTAAACAAGTGGCCTATTGTTGACAGACTTAATGAGAAATGGTCCTTATTTATCAGCCCAAAAAGCTGTTAAATGTTTTTCCTCTTTGACTGCAGATGTGTCGAACGAGTGGGAACTGTAAACCAAGGGGGTACATCTTTTTGAGTTCTACTCTTTTTACAGAACAAAGTAAACATCTTGCTGGACACTGAGTGAGAAAAGTCAGAGCCCATTTGACCCATGAAAAATTGATTTATTCTCCTGCAAAGGAAAAAGGTGAAAGAAAGCCTTTTGGACAAGCAAGCTGCCCCTGTAGACAGGATAGGCTGGGCCTTTGACCTAAGAATGAATCCATGACTTGTGCTTTGAAGACCTTAAACAGAGCAGTTGCCTTTCTTCAAGGAACCACCCTGGTTACAGAGGAGCAGTATCCCCCTCCTAACAGGTCATCCTGTTTGAGTAAGCCTTCCCTGCCACAAAGAGACGATGTCCCAAGTGACTGATCTCAGTAATAAAATAATTTATAAGCTCTCCAAGGCAGAAAGTTCTCATGTTAATTTGGGTTCTAGTTAATTTTTAATTCCAAAGACAGGGGCACAGTGTATGGAAGCAAAAATACAGATTTATTCTGGAACTTTTTTTAATATTGGGGCATAGACTTTTGAAAAACTATATGAGAAAACAGTGTTTTCCATATATACATATATATGTATATACATATATGTATGTGTATATATATATATATATGTATGCATCAATACACATACACATATATTATTTGGGCCTTTTAAAACTTCTTTCTATTTTTAAATTCTTAGTTCCATACATGTATATAATGAATTTTGGTCATTTCACCCCATAGTCCCCACTGTCATCCCCCAAGCTCCCAGTGAAACCTTTCTTCTTTCCAACAGGTCCCCCCCTTCTTTGAGAAACATTGAGTTCAATTAGTGTTACATGCATGAATATGGGTGGGAGGTTCTTTACTGGAGCACAGGCTACTTACCATTGCTGCACCCTTTGCCCAGCAACCATTAACTGCCAGAGGAACTTCCCTGAGAGAGGATTAGAGCCTCATGGGCCCTTCCCTGATCCCTGACCAAGTGTTTGTTGATAGGCCTAATCTTGTGCTAATCTTGTGCAGATAATCACAGCCACAGTGCGTTCAGGAGCCCAAGGGCCATGTCACCAGAAGATATCACTTTGCTACACATCGCTCCATCCTCTGGCTCTGACAGTCTTTCTGCCCCCTCTCCTGGAAGTTTCCTAAGCCTTGGAGGGAGTGATAGAGTCTATTTGAGATTTTTTGAGACAGGGTATCATGTAGCCCAGGCTAACCTGGAGCTCACTGTATAGCCAAGATGACCTTGAACACCTGATCCTCCTGTCTGTACCTCCCTAGTTCCCCCTTTTAAGTTCTTGATAGTTTATTTAAAGAGATGTTAAGTCATTCAGCACTTTGTGGGAAGGAGCCAAGCAATAGGCTTCAGACTCTAGGTGAGCTAGTAGCTTTGCTTTTCTAGAGTTTCTTGATAAAATGTTATAAGGATAAATAGTAACATCTAGGAGCTGGGTGTGGTAGCTTACACCTCTTTGTTGTGTGTTCCAGGCCAGCCTGGGCTACAGAGTAAGACCCTATCTTAAATAACAACAACAACAACAACAACAAAAACCAGACAAGCAAAAGAATAATAGCAATAATAATAGCTAGTATTTAACTTCTTAACCAGGGGGCAAGCTCTGTGCTGTGCGTTTTACATGCCTTATCTCATTAAGGGAGAAAGTCTTTGTACACCCATTTTGTAAAGGGAGAAACTGAGACTCAGAAGATTCTTCCACAAACAGCTGTCCAAGTTTATCTTTGAACCTGATGCTGTGTTTTCAAAGTCTGTCTTTTTTACCACAGATTATTTTTTTACCTTATAATTCTTAGAGTATCTAAGTATTTGGTAATCAAGATGGATACATTTTTTTACCTCCTATCTAAAGGTCACTTGTGGTCTTTCCTGTCCAGTGGCTGAACCAAATGATAGCCTTTTGTATCAGGCCTAGGAAATAAGCACCCTGTCAGGTATGAACACAGGACCAAAGCTTAACTTCGTTGCCATGGTAGCAGATGGCAGGTTCAGAGAGAGTAATGGACCACTGGACAGCAAGCAGCAGTATGGCTGGAGTTCCCTCCTCATTCATATCTGATCGCTGCTGCTGATTTGCTTCTACTTAATGAAAACTGGTCATTTCCAGATCTTTAGAGATGAGGAAGTGGAAATTACGTTAAGAGAACCTGAGGTACTTTCTAATTAACTCTGAAAATTTAATTACAAGCATCACATCTGGGGAAGGGGGGTGAGAAAGAGAATTACCATTACTTCCAAATGTAAGGTTGAGCAAAGAATTTCTGCAGCTGTTTTTTTAACACAGAGGGGCATTTTGCTTGTTTGTTTGATTATTATGTGGATAGAAGTCATTTCCGAGAAATGTTGAACTCACTAATGAATCTTATAAATCTGCTTCTCTGGTACTTTTTTTGATTTCACTCCATGATGAGGAAATAATTTCAGTACATTGTATGAAAGTCTCAAAAATTCAGTAAAAATTTAAAAGAATATATTTATTTTTTAATTAAGATTGTTTTTATTTTATGTGTATATGTGTATAAGCCTGCATGTATGTAAGTGTACCCATGTCATGCAATGCCCACAGAGATCAGAAGAGGGCGTCTAATCCCCTGGAACTGGAGTTACGAACAGTAGTTAGCCACCATATGGGTACTGGGATTCTAACTGTGGTCCTCTGCAAGTGCGGCCAGTGCTCTCCAGCCCCCCGAGGATATCCATTTTTTAAAAAATAGCAGCAGAATATCTACAAACTTCAGACCTTCAGATATTGCTGCTTTTCTGTTTTTCATTTTTTGGTTTTACATTTATGTGTATAGGTATGGGTATGTATGCCCCGGGGACAGCTTGTGGGAGCCTGTTCTCTTTCATGTGGTGGTCAGAGAACAACTTGTGGAATCGGTTTTCTCCTTCTCTCATGTGGGTCACAGGAATCAGACTTGGTCGTCAGGCTTAGAGGCAAATGCCTTTACCCACAGAGCCATCTCACAGGCCCATATTTTTGTTTTTGTTTTTGTTTAGACAGGGACGCGTTCTGTAGCCATCAGATATTCTCCAGTCTTATGACCCATTCAACTTGCGTTTATTTGTTCATCCTGAATACAGACCTCTGTATAATAGGCACGGTGCAAAGTACTGAGGGTGCAGCAATGAAAGATGCCTTCAGTGCTACCAAGCAGACGTCACGGTGAACACGACATCCTCATTGGTTCCTCAGAAGAGTGCAGAGCATCTAGGCCGCTGGCCGCATATTGCCACTCTGGGCTGCTTTGCACTAGCATTTCAGGCCTGTGGTGCATTAGGAGGGAGGAGTAGCAGAGGGGGTGAGATGCTCTTTGCTTGACTCTCTGGTGTGGTATTTGCACAACGTGACTGATGGACTTGTCAGGGAAATTAGCATTTTGCTGGAATGAAGGCAGTGGAGTTAACTTGTTACAACCTTTAAGCTTAAACTGTTCTTGCATGATATTGTGATGTGAACCAGAAGATAAAACCAAGAACCTTTCCTGGCCTATCAGAACTCTATTTAAAAGATTTTTTCTAAATGATTCCTGCAACTAATTTTTCTTAACTAATCATACTGTTGCTTTAACTTCTTGAGGCCCCTTATAATGTGGCTGCCCTAAGCCGGGTATGGTGGCGCATGCTTTAATTCCAGGAGAGACAGGTGGATCTCTGTGAGTTCAAGGCCAGCCTGGTCTACACAGTGAGTCCCAAGCCATTTGGGACTACAGGGAGACCCTGTCTCAAAAAAGACCAAAAAAAGACTCAAAAAGACAGGGTCTCTCTGTAGCCCCAGTTGTCATGGCTGTCCTTGAACTCACAAAGATCTGCCTGCCTCTGCCTCTTGGGATTAAAGGCCTGCGCCACCACACCTGGCAGAATCATGCAATCTTAAACAATAAAATAAATCCTGTTTTTAAAAGTAAAAGAGGAGGACTAGGAGATGGCTCAGTGGGCAAAGTGCTTGCCTAGAGTATGAGCACCTGAGTTCCGATCCCCACAACCCATGTAAAGTCAGGCACAGCATCATGAATCTGTAATTGTAGAGTATGAGGGCCTGAGTTCTGATCCCCACTGTAATTGTAGAGTATGAGGGCCTGAGTGCCTATCCCCACAACCCATGTAAAGTCAGGTGCAGCATCATGTATCTATAATTATAGAGTATGAAGGACTGACTTCCAATCCCCACAACCCATGTAAAGTCAGGCACAGCATCATGCATCTGTAATTGTAGAGTATGAGGGCCTGAGTTCTGATCCCTAGAACACATGTAAAGTCAGACGCAGCATCATGCATCTGTAATTGTAGAGAATCAGGGCCTGAGTTCCGACCCCCAGAACCCGTGTAAAGACAGGCGCAACATCACACATCTGTAATTGCAGTGCTTTGACGACAAGATGAAGATGAAAGCTGGAAATGGGAGCCTCCCCAGAAGCTCACAGACAGCTCACCTGGCCCATTCCACAGCAGCAAGCAGCAAAGAAACCCTGTCTCAGACTAGTGGAAGATGAGGACCAACACCCAGGGTCATCCTCTGGCCTCCACATGTGTGCTGTGACACATATGTACCCCACACACATACATGCACATCATATACACACACATTGTACACATTCAGAATTTAGAAGCAGAACAAAAACACGTGGATGACACCTGAGGAACAATAGCTGAGGTTACTCCCTTTAAAAGTGCACACACGCACACGCATGCATACATGCACTACACACATGAATACATCCACAAAAGTCAAATACATAAGTAAAGATGAGATTTCTTAGAAAATGAAATATAAAGATAGCTTCTGCCTTACTGAGTACTTTGGAAAGGGTTAGGGAAATTCTTGGGCTGGGAGTGTAGCTCAGTGGCAGAATGTTCAGCTAGCATGAACAAGGCCTTGGGTTCAATTCAGCACTGAAAAAATTCTGACCCATATGCATATGCAGTATACTGGCTATTTCATTTCTAACTTAGATTGACAGAAAAAGCAAACCAATTTTTACAGGGACCCTAAGAAAAGTACTTTGTGCTTCGTCTGCTGTTTTGAAAGCTCAACTAGATAGTTTCTTCCCACTGTCCTACTTTGCTTGTATTGCTGTGATGATGAACACTGACCAAAACCGACTTGGGGAGGAAAGGGTTTCTTTGGCTTAGAACTTATAGTCCATCATCAAGGGAAACCAAGAAAGGAACTCAGGGCAGGAACCTGGAGCACAGACCTTGGAGGTATACTGTTTATTGGTTTGCTCCCCTGGTCAGTGCTGGACCACGTGCCCATGGTGTCACTGCCCACAGTACATTGGGCCCTCCCACATCACCCACAGACATGGCCATAGGCCGGTTCAGTGGAGGAAATTCCTCAGTTGAGGTTCCCTTCACCCAGGTGTGTCAAGTTGATAGCTGAGGCTCTCCAGCACAGCCCTAGAGGTAACGGAATCCTGGGTCTGGAGACTGGTTTGGGGTTTGTTCACTCTGAGTGATGCTCACCTGTACCTTCAGAGCTCAGTTATTCTGATAGCCAGCCTTTTTGTGCTTCCTTCCCAGCTGCCGTGCCTCAGCTCCTACGACAGCTACTGCAGCAATCAAGTGGCTGCCAAAGCTCTGCTGGACCACAAAAAGCAAGATCACAGAGTCCAGGATTTCCTTCAGCGCTGCTTGGAGTCCCCCTTCAGCCGCAAACTGGACCTCTGGAATTTCCTTGACATTCCCAGGAGCCGCCTGGTGAAGTACCCTCTGCTCCTTCGAGAAATCTTGAGGCACACACCGAATGATAATCCAGATCAGCAGCACTTGGAGGAAGCCGTAAGTTTGCCTGTTCTTCCTCTCTTCCCCACCACTCCCCTTAATGGCTAGTAGGTGGTGTCAGTAGGTATTACATGTGTGGGATCCAGCAATCTTGGGTTTCAAGCCTGGTGCCACCATCGACCTTGTGTATTATGCAAGGTGTTTGTTTTCACTTTGTCACAGTTTTCTGACTCATAAAATAGTGTTTACATTTTAAAAATTAAGATCCGCAGGGCATGGTGGCACACACCTTTAGTTCCAGCACTTGGGGAGGCACAGGCAGGTGGAGCTCTGTGAGTTTGAGGCCGGCCTTGTCCATAGCAAGTTCCAGGCCAGCTGGGGCTATAGGGAGACACTGTCTCTCAAATAGACCAAAAAAAAAAATGTTCCATTTGGTTCTAAAATGTCTGTTTTTGTAGCCCAAGCTGGTTTTAAACTTGTCATGAGCCTCCTGTCTCAGCCTCCCAAATGCTAGGATTGTATGAGCCAGGCAAGGTGGCGCATACCTTTAATCCCAGCATTTGGGAGGTAGAGGCAGGCAGATCTGTGAGATAGAGGCCAGCCTGGCCTACATAGTGAGTTCCAAGCCAGCTGGGGCTATGAGAGACCCTGTCTCAAAAAGATAAGAAGTATGAGCCTACACACCCAGGTCTAAACTCTGTTTAAATTCTGAACTTCCCTTCAATTTTTTGTGTGCCACTCAAATCTGTTATTATAGTTGCTGACTGAAATCTCTTATCTTTGTGGAAATTTTGAATGAAAAAGCTTTGTTTTGTAAAAAAATGGGAGTCAGCTTTTAGTTAGCCCCAAAGCCCATTTGTAAAGGGGACCTTTGTTTAAGATCTGGCTCCCATCTGTCCCCAAATGCAGTAGGGTGCCCAATTAAACCTCCTATTTGTCACTGAGCCCTCATTCAGCAAATGTTATTGAGCATGGATGGGTACATGCCTATAATCTCAGCAGATTTGACAGTCAGGAGGACCCCAAATTGAGGCCAGTCTCTGCTACATGGGAATTAAAAGCCAGCTCTGTATGGAGTTACAAAGGTGTGCAGCACCATACCTGGCCCACCACCACCTCCTTGATCTAGTTTTTCTAACCTCACATCTGGACCACTGCAGCATCCTCCCTACTGGCTTCCCTATCCCTGTCTTTAGACCCCCTTGGTCCCTGTTCAGCAGAGAGTAATGTGCCCAGGATTAAATATTTTATTTGTGGTAAAGCTTGGATTTGAACCATAAATCCCAACTATTTAGAAAACTTCAATTAATGATACAACATGGAAAATTCTCATTGATTTGTAACCAGGTCTGAACTAGTCCTGAACCTTAGCTAGAAAGAAAGAAAGAAAGAAAGAAAGAAAGAAAGAAAGAAAGAAA